GGATAAAGTTTGCACCAGGTTTTACCTATTTCTATATCCCTAGCATGAGTGCTCACTATGCCTGGTTAACAGCAGAATGAATGGATGAATGAATGAGTGAGGTCAGATAAAGAGATTCTGACATTTGCAGACCAGATGTACAGTAGGAAGGTGGGTATTACAGGTATTACTAATTTGTTCATTTATTCCATAAAGTTTCCCAGTGGCTGAGATGGAGATGAATTACGTTTAGTCTTTCCCTTGAAAGTAGCTAATAGCTCAGAGTGGGTGTGAAGGCCCAGGGCACTGGGCTCCTAAAATAGGGTGAGAGTGTCAGAGCCCTAAGAGCAGGAGAAGGAGAACCAGCTGGGGCAGGAAGAAGACACGTGGAAGAGGAAGCACACAGGCTTGCAGGAATGCTTTACGTTCCTTACGGGTATGTTGGGTCATGTGTGGCTGACAGGCTGCGTCCAGTGCCACACAGCCCAAAATACAAAACTCTGGTCTTTGCCGGGCCCTCGTCTCCACCGCTAGCTGCAGCTTGGAAGCAGTTTGGAAAGCACGCCCTAATCTAAAGGAATTAGAAATTTAGGGCCTGGGGTGGAAGGATGTGGAGGGTGATTGTTTCCTCAGCCCCCTCCCAGGGCTCCCAAAAGTTTCCTCGACAAGGTTCAGATCTGCTCTACCCCTGCCAGCCTCTAAGGACCCTCTGGAAGTCTCCTAACTCCTTCTGTTCTGTTCATGTCCTTCTTTATTTTATTATGAGACAAGGTCTTGCTAGGTTGCCCAGGATGGTCTCAAATTGCAATCCTCCTGCCTCAGCCTTCCAAGTCACTGGGATTATAGATGTGTGCCACCATACCCATCCTATTTTATTTTTAAGATTTTTAAAAATATTGCTGGAAAAGAGTAAATGTTTAATCAGTATTTGTTAAGTTGATGGGTATATGATTATATATTTAGGAGTGCCCCAAGCCTTCTTAAGGAAGTGATAGACTTTCACTTTCCTCCTGGATAAGCAAACAAGTGGGGCTGCTGGCTGAGGGTAGGAGCAACAAGACTGATTAAGGTCAGGGCCAACACCTGCGGAGGCAACTCTTCTCACTTCACAGTTCTCCGCTGGCAGTGTATGATCACTGAGGCTACCCGGGTGTTTTTAAAGGTTCAGCCCATGGAGGCTGTATTAGCCAGCTTTTTGCCACTGAGACGTAATACCTGCTACCTGCAACCTAAAGGAGAGGTTTGTCGGGCTCACAGTTTCAGTGGACCCAGTCCATGGTGGTTTGGCAGAGGAGAGCTGTTCACCATATGGCAGCCAGAAAGCAGAGTGAGAAGGGAGGAGCTGGGGACAAAAACACACGCTTCCAGGTTGCACCGTCAGTGATCTCTTCCTGACCAGGCGACACCTGCACAGCACATCCAGCTCCTGAACTCAGCAGTGGATTCATCCGTAACCCAAACACATGAGACTTTTGGGGGACATTTAAGATCTAAATCATAACGGTGGCTCTGGCTGACTATCAGAAAACCAAAGCAGAATGTAACCAGTCCTCTTCCTAGAAGACAATATAAGAAGGGGCAGGTCCCAGTAAGGCTGCCTGCACCCACAGTAAGTGTAGTTTTCCTGGGGGAAAGGTCTCCAAGGCCCTTTGTGCATAGGCCTGTGCCTTGTGCCTTTACTTTGTACGGCTCCCCACTCAGTAACCAGACAGTAATCTTCCCTACAGGGATCCTGGTTGAGTTTTCCTCTCTGGCTTCCTCAGTGGGGTGAAACTGTACCCCTCTGGAGTCCGATCTGTGAATCCCATCGGGGAGAAATACAGTCCGTCTCTGAGAGACAGTCTGGCTGGCCGGTAGAGGCCTCCTTCAAAGGGTAGAGGGAGGCATGTCTTGTGGGACAGCCTGAATGGGAGGGAAAAATGAAGCACTGGTGACAGAGCAAGATCTAAGTAGGATCCGGGGAACTGATTGACGGAAAGGAGCCTTCATTAAGAGTTTTGGGTTGGCAGGATGCAGGCTGGGGTGTTTAATTAAGTAACTAAGAAAAAATCTCTCAAAAATGGATGTACTGGGCAGGGAAAAATTCAGTGGGAGCTCTGGGGACTGAATCCAAAGTCAAAGCCTTCTTAAGGCTCTGGTAGGTGTGTCGGGGACCAGCATGACTGTGTATAATAGCTGAGTAGAAGCAAGCTGAGCGGCCTTTCTGAGTGTGTGTGAGTGTGCACATATGCACATATGTGTGGACAAAAATGCATAGGACTTCTGAGAACACACTCAGTGCCTGCCAGTGGAAGAGTACTGCAGGATGGACAGCCTGAGCTAGAGCTCCACATTCTGCTCGTCTTGATGACATTGTGGGAATGAGGATGGGCCATGGTGGAACAAGAGGCTCTGGAGACAGTGTCTTGCGGACAGGATCAAGTTCCTATCTTGTAAAAGGCCAGTGTCACAGGCTACAAGAAGAGGGACATGGGCTTTATGCTGAGGACATTGATCAGAGGCCAGCTTCCACCTTGGCCCACCCATGTCCAAGGGGGTATCTGATCATTCCAGCTGTGGCCTAGCCTATGGTAATCTTCTGCTGTCCAATTGCTATGGGAATCTGTTTTCTCAGAGGGACTGTGAGAAACCTCTGATGTTCTTTCCCGTAGAGGATACTGGGTGCTCTGAGCTTATTTGGCTTCCATGGGGCTCTGAAAGTCCAATGCTCCTATGAACACCCAGATGTCAAACCCTGTTCTGAAGTTGCCCTTAGGCAATTGGCTTATAGCTGAGTCTCAGTGACGTGATGTCCCAAAACTTCATGCTCTTTGGTTTGGCTTCCTTCCTAAAGTGGGTAGGATTTAACATGACAGATGATGTGCAGGGCAGCAGTGTCTGGCAGGGGTAGGGGACTGTAACAGGCTTGTGTAAGGGCACCTGTCATATAAGAGCTGACCCTTGCCGGTGCCGTCCTCTGGGTTCGGGTTTCCACAAGGCCCTGCTCAGCCCTGTGGGACTTCGTGGTCCTTGAGAGCCCGGGGGAGTGATGGACCCTGAGGCCATTTTCTGGCAGGGGAGCATTTGTCCTCTGTGCTTGCTTTCATTTTGAAAAGTCACGCCCAAGAATCACAAAAGATATTTCATCCCATTTGCTTTTTAATTGATAATTCATGCTATTTTCTTTGAAATGTTAAGAATCACCACTAGAGATAGTGTAAATATCTAACCCTGCACAAGACACAGAGTATGTAATGGTGTACTCTCTTAGGTTCTGAACTGGCAATACATTTAAAGAGCTGAACCAAAATAAAGTCAAATAAAAGAGCATGGTATGAAGAGTCTCTCTTTCCCGCAGCTCCATCTACTCACTGCCCAGATGGATGGCCATTGTAACAGTTCCTCATTCGTACCTGAACATATTATATGTAATAATGTTACATGAGGGAAGAATCAGACTTTATGTGTATTTATATTTGTATTAAAGTTTTATTTTCTCTGTTTTACACAAAACATTGTATATTATACACACTGTGCTGTATCCTTGCTTACTTTTCATGTAACAATGTATCGTAAAGCTCTTTCTATACTATGCACAGAGGAAGACCTCGTCCTTTTTGTGGCTGCATTCGTGGGGTTCCATTGTGCACATATGCGAGAACTTATTTAATAAATCCGCTATTAAAAACTTGCGTTGTTTCCAGTCTTTTGCTTCAAGGATCTTGAACATGTGTCACTTTCACGTGTAAGTGTAGCTGCACAATAAATTCCCAGAAGGGCCATCCTCCATCAGGGAGAGTATACACTTGGATAGCTTTTGTCAAATTAACTAGCACAGGTGAGTAGCCACGCCCACCAGAACTGTGTGAGTGTGTTTCCATACAGCCTTCCTAGCACAGTATTTTATTGACTATCTTTTCATGTGGTAGCCAATGTCCAGGGTGAGGACATCAGTTCTAGGAAAAGCTGTGCCTCCAAGGAGGGTCTTTGGTACAGGCAGGGCAGTAGCACCTGGGGACTAAATCTCTGTGTCAGCCTGAGCACTAATCTTTAGTACTAATGATCATTTAATTCGCCAGGTCTCTATGTTCTCATCTGTAAAATGGAGAAAATAAGATACCATGCCTCCCGTATACTTTTGTAATTTTGCCCATGTCTATCCATATATTTAAACATACCATTCACGTGGTCAGTTTAGATTTTTCTCCCTGGAATGAAATGGGTCTGAGTGTTTCTGTAGCCTGCCTCCAACACCACATTGTCCAATTAAGTGAGACAGAATCTTCGGAGTGCAGCAGAGAAATGCTGCAGAAGCTTAGCTCACACTGGAGGTCTGGAGGTTCAGACCTGCCCTTGTGCACAGGATGATTTTCGGTGTTCAGTTGTGCAGCTGCCTCTGAGCCTATAATCTGTTTGCATGGTTCGTATTCACTCTGTATCGGTCAGTTTGTTATAGTAATGAAATAACTGGATGAGAAACTTTGTAAAGAGAAGAGGTTTATTTAGCTCATCGTTCTGGGTATTCAGAGGTGTGGTACTGGCTTTGGCTCAACTCTGGTGAAGCACCCATGGCGATGGCACCACAGTGGCAGAAGCACTTGCTCAAGAGGGAGAGAGCACATCACCAGAAAGGAGGCCAGAAAGAAGGGAAGGGCCAATCTGTGACGAGGCCCTGCCTCTTAAGGTCTCACCACCTCTCTGCTACCACACTGAGGACCAAGCTCCTGACGTGTGAGCCCCTGCAGGACAAATTTAAACCCTGTTGAAACCATCACACATACACTGGGGGGTCACTGTGAGAATTAGATGAGATGACACATGAAAAGGCTTTGCACAGTGATTGGCGTGTGGCTGTGGAAAGCTGGCTGTGCAGTCATTAGCAGCTGACGCTGGGCTTCGCAGCCCCTTCCTGGAACTTCTGGTCAAGGAAAGAGCTAGGTTTGAGTGTCTTGGGCCCTCTTCCTGCTCTCAGGCTCTGACCTAACAGTCTCTAGCAATTTGTCCAACTTTCACTCACCTTTCTTCTTTCATGCTCATCAAAGGTATTCAGGAGTCTCCAGTGCCGAATGGTCACTCACTTCCGGGCAGAGATTTCCTCCGGAAGCAGATGCGAGGAGACCTGTTCACGCAGCAGCAGCTGGAAGTGCTGGACCGAGTGTTTGAGAGACAGCACTACTCAGACATCTTCACCACCACGGAGCCCATCAAGCCTGAGCAGGTATGGCCCATGGCTCACACGTGCCGCCACAGTGCAGGCTTGGGTCCCTCTCTTAAAAGCAGAGGGTTTGCAGGGTATGGGTCAGAGCCTATCAGGTTCAGCTCCGAGTGGACTTTTCATTGTTTTTGGCTGAACTTGGCCATCATAACATCCTCGAAGGTCAGGAGGACTTGCCTGGGGCTCTGGCTTCTTGTCCTGGTACCTGTGTCTCTGGCCAGTCAAGGGGCATGCGATTTGTCTGGGTGCTCTTCCACTGCTGAGTAGTGTGTTTTCCCAGGGCTCTTTGGGCAGGGTGGGGTAATAATTTTCTAGGCCATATGAGGTTGTCTCAGGTCATTGTCCTATCAGAGTGAAGGTAAAAAGTAAAAACCACAATATTCCCTATGATCTCAGCTGCCATAAACAGCATCATGGACTCTACTATTAGCCTTCTTGTCAGGTCAAACTGTCATGCTTTTAAAAAATTAACCCAAGAGACAGGAGATGAAGAAGTGTCCATTGGACAAGCTCCTACCTGGAGGTTGGAGGAGAGGGAAGGAAGCAAGAGGACCAGCCTGGCTGGGCAGCTGACCTGTTGTTGCCAGCCGAGGGGTGGTCACTGCCTGTGGCTATGGACCTAATACCAGAAAGACCTCCAGTTATAGGCTCTCAGGGCCTGAATAAGGTCTCCCAAGTACCAGCTTCAATTTAGCATGATAGTTCCCAATGCCCCAGGGGCGAGGTCCTCGACTAACTTTACACGGCAGCAATGAGCAGCTTACCTGTGGTTTTGGCCAGCTGAGAACTCCCATCTGATAGGCAAGTCAGAGAGACCTATGGGCAATAACTTTGTCCAAGACTTTACTAGCTGGTACCAGTGGTGGGCATTAGCCTCTCTGAGCTTTCTCTACATGATCATTAGATGGTGCTTTGAAGTTTGTCCAAAGAGCCCTTGAGACAGTTCAGGCCATGGAGGGGCAAGGTTCTGGAGGAGGTCCTGGGTAATGAGTGGGTAAAGCCTCTGAAGCTACCATTTTATGGTGGCCGGGTGCTCTCTGAGCAGTTCCTTTGAGGGCTCTGACAGCCCATTTAGCTACCTTGTTTTCAGATGGGGAAACTGAGGCCCAGAGAGGCAAAGTGACTTGCCCAGGGCCAACCAGCAAGTCATGTATTTACTTAACAAACTTAGATGAGTGTCTACTTTGTACAAGGCATTAGGGATCCATCACTGAACAAGGCAGGTTTGGACCTGCCCTCAGGAAGTCTAGAAATTTGTAAAAGAAGCACAACAAATAAGAACTACTGACAGAGTTGTGGGATACAAGCGGGCTTGGTGCTGAGATGTCTAACATTCCCCAAGAGTCAGAAGCAGAGGCTACACCATCTTGGAAGCTGTAATGGAGTCTAGAACTCTTAGCTGAGCCCTGAATGGTTGAGAAGAAAAAAGAGAAGGGATGCAGCTGGTGAAGGGAATGTACTTGGCAGAGTGAACAGCAAGTGCCAAGGCCCTGTGGGGAGAGGGAGAGGCAGAAGTAGGAGACAGAGACAGTCAGCTTGGCAGGGGTTCAGGAAATGAGTGAGAGGCGGTGCTGGGGCATGGGCCTGGTCTTACGGCCTGTGGTGAGGATGTTGGTCTTTCTCCAAGTCCAGTAAGGCTCCCATCCGAATGGTGGCTGGACAGAGCTACTGCCACACTGTGGAGCCTAGGCTTTGGGAGTAGTCTGCTTCCCTCACAAACAGCTTCTTTCCCCTGCTCCAAGCTCTTCTGAGCGATGGTGATAGCTACATTTCCTCTGACACAGGAGAGAAAGAGGGAACTCAGGATGAAGCCATACAATCCAGGAGAAAATCTTCTTCTAGCTGCTGACAAAAATCATATAACGTTAGGGCTAGTGAAACAATGGAGGCAAACTTCCAACTCTCATTTTTTAGAGGCCTGGAGAGGGGAGAGAGCTGTCTGAGGTTGCCCAACAAGTGTGTGGTACAGGGCAAAGGCCCGGGCTCTGCACGCAGCCTGACTTTCCAGCATAAGGTGCCAGCACTTCCATTAGGCCCGAATGTACAAGGCAGCACAGACATTTGGTGCTAGAGACTCGCTCTGCCTTTCACGTGATCCTCCCGGAAACCAGAATCTGAGTTCTGCTTCATTTAGCATAGGGTGCCCCAAGAGATGGGGCAGAGATGGCAGGGCTTCATAATCAGATCCACCCATGTGCTCAGAATCCAGAGCCACCGCGTGCTAGTTCTCTCGCTTGCTCAGATGCTCATGGACCTAGCGTATTTCTTGCACATGGGCCGTGGGCCTGAAATAGTGCCTGGCGCTTGGGGGACAGAGGCATGAGAGCCACATATCCACGCTGCCCACTGTCTCAGAACAGCGGGACGTGGACTTCGAAGACACAGGATGAGAGAGGTGGTCCTGTGGGTCCCGATGAAGTGTGAGTGAGAGGGAGAAGTTGCCCTGGTGGGGGCATCATGGGCAGTAGTACGGAGAGGTGATATAGAGGGGGGTCCTGAAGGGTAGGCTTCATGGGCTCTGAGAGGCAGGGCTCCAAGGGATAGGAAACCCAAGTTATGGACTGTGAGGGCTTTGCCGCTGGTAGTGTCCTTCAGAACCCGCGGGAACGTCTCTGGGCCTGTGTCTGCGAGGGGTCTGAGGCAGGGTCTGCAAGCAGACTGCGCAGCGGGATAATGACTGACTCAGTGTTTTCTGGTTAATCTGCTTCACCTCCTGTAACGCGCTGTAATGAGGAGAGATGGGAGGTGAGGCTTCGGGGCCACCTGCACACACACAGCCGCTGGACTATGAATGACATACCCTCGCGCCCAATTCCCCATCACTTTGGACAAATGACAGCTTGAGCAAGGGGCTGCAGACAGTGGAGGGATGCGTGTCAAGGGTATAGGTTCCTCGTGTCCCCTCCTGCTTGCTCTCTGCCAGGCAAACGTTCCACAAGCCTTGCCTCACGAGCCCAGAGTGGCACCAGGAAGGGCCCCTGAGCCGCTGGCTGTGGAGGCTGGCCACCTCTTGCATTTGTGAGCAGATCAAGCTGTATGGTTCTGTGTCTCTCAGACCTGGGGGTCTGGGTAGGAGCTTGCCGTCACCATCATGGTAGCCAGATGGGCAGGAAAGAGCTCCCACTGCCCTTGGAGGTGGGGAGCTTGATCTGAGTCCTGCTCCTGTCCCATTGAGCAAGTCGGTTTTGCCTGGCCTCAGTTTCCATATCTGTGGTAGGGTGGTAATCACGACTGACCACAGCAGCAGCAACTTAACGATGGCAGCAGAGAGGCTCCTCACCTCTGCATGAGAGTGGTCAGCTTTCAAAAGTCTGTTAGGTACAGTCTCTCACTGTACCCTCTATTTAAATGCCTGTCATGCAGGCTGGGCAAGCGTGGTGAGCCCCATTGTCTGGAACTTTTTCTCCAGACTCTTCACCCTATTTTAAGGTCCAGGAGGTTTCCTGGATTGGCAGGGCCACAGTGCTGCAGTTGGACCTCAGGATCTTTCTGTCCCATGCTGTACAAGTTGGCTGCATGGTCCTTCCTGGCCACAGAGAGCTTGAGGAGTAGGTCTCTGACTGTCCTTTTGCAGCTAGAGTCTGCTTGTCCTTCCAGGACCCTCAGAGTCTTTCATTGGCTTGAAGAGGTCACATCCCGCCAAAGCCCTCCCCCTCCTGGGACATGGGAAGGGCAGCCCTGCAGAGGGTTGGAGTCCTGCCAGCCATGGTCATAGGTTCAGAGGCCCCTACCTCCTCTTGCTGCTTTTCCTGCCAAGTTCTGCTTGGGCAGGTGGATCAGTCTGGGCTTTCACAGGGAAACTTAGTAAACCCTTTGCCCTGGTGGAAGGGGTTAATGGAGCCCCACTCCTAGGGTAATGAAACACTTCCTTTTCAAAATGGTTATTGAAAAAGCAATTCTGTTTCTCCTACATGTGGAGTGAGTAAAAATCACCTTGAAGGAGCAGAAGAGAAAAAAAAAAAAGATGAAGAAGAAATAACCGCTGGTGAGAGAGCATGTGTGCGCGTGCGTATGAGCGTGCATGTGTGTGTGCGCATGTAGCCAGCAGAGGAATCTGTTTCAGTAAAACTCGCGTTGACACCGGCATGGGCGCCTGCCGGCACTGTGGCAGAGCAGGTCCCTCCTCTGGCCACTGCAGGAAGGCCTCCGAGCACAGCCTGCCGTATTTACTCTCGGCAGACTATTAACCAACACAAGGCTATTAATCTGGCTTTTGAGCCTTCACTAAAGCCCATAAAAGCTCACAGTTGTCAAATGGAGTTCATTTTAATTTCCTTTCAATCACAGTAAATTATTCAGGTGATAAATCAGCTGGAGCAGCCTCCTGGCTGTAATAGAAACCCTAATTCCTGGCTAATTATCCAGCCCATTGCTGCCAACAGATCAATACGGGCGCAAAATGGAACGGGCCCAGGGCCCTCCCTCCCATCGGGCCAGAGACAGAGAGACAGCTGGGGAAGGGGGACGACGTGCTGCTGACCTCCTGGGAAGTTCAAAGGTCACAAGGGGTTAAACTGGGAGAAGGCCTGTCCCTTGTCTAACAAAGTCACCAGAAATGCCTTCTGCTCTCATGAGCCACTTTGGCCCTTGAATGGTGCACTTCTCCAGCTGGCGGGCCAAGGGAATTCTGGTGTGGCCTACTCCCGTGGGCACCCTGTCCCTGGAAGGGAGCTGGATTGCACTGCCCAGCATGACTGGGGTTGGTCAGCAGGGGTGGCCTCACACCCACCATGAATTAGGAAAAGGGCTAGGTACTGTGAGGAGAAAGGTGAGACTCTGGACGTGTTTCCTTTCTTCCTGTCCTCCCTAGCGGGTCTGTGTCTTACCACACGGAGGTGGAGGAGGCAAGGAGGGGTGGGGAGGCGGGTGTGCCAGGCTGAAAAAGGAGAAGGCCTCCTGGAGGAGGTGCCATTAGTGCTGCGCCTGGAGGGATGGGCAGAGTCAGACCTGTGGGGTGGCGGACAGTAGGCTGGCGAGGACATTCTATGCAGAGGGAACAGCAT